CTGGTACTGGGCTCACCCAAGGAATCATCACGTCCTGCACATCACTGCTTAACCTCACAACCCTATAATGAGCTTCCTGCGCGACCAGGCTGCGCCCTCCGGAGAATAGCGGGGAGCAGCCCGCAGGTCCAGGACTTTTTACATTCATCGCACGTTAAACACCTTTAACGTTGTTTAAACTGTGACCTTAGCGCCAGGCGTGGCTTCACCTGTTTGGTCCCAACATTTGGGCGAGTGGGGCCAGTGTATATGGACATTTGGACTTTTTTCTAATCAGTACGATTTATGATGGTCGGACTTTGGGCTTGCTTGTGTGCTGTAGGATCTAACTTTGTCGGACATTATTAGCTAGCCAGCAGATGAGAAGTTGCTGTCAGTGCAGTGACGACGACGCTGAGGATTGACAGAGGATGTACGTAGGTAGGATTTTATTGCGAGAAACTGCCCACAAGAGATGTCACTCGTATTGGCTGTGGGTAAATCTCTCGTCAAGGGTCGAGTCTCAGCAGCACAGTTTTCCATTTGCTCCACAGACTTTTAACTGAGAGTTGTCATTTGGTGGTATATTTGGCAAGCAGACTTTACTCATGTTCCGAATGAGTTTTGATAGACTTTTCACCCACACGTTTGGGGGGCGGGCTGATGAGAGTCAGAAAGGACACTACACCTCTGGGGGCCGCCAGCTCCGAGATCCCCTGCCAACTCTGTTAATGCTCATTTGAGACATTATCCGTGGCGCACGACGGGGACGTACAGCAGGAGTCTTGCATGACGTTCCGTAAAACCAGCACAGTGGAGGTCTGGCGCCCGAGTGAGGTATGGAGTATCTCCTTATACACATCACATCAGACTTAACTTTCGCTCACGCCTGTGACCGAAATTACCATGCCACAGATGTTTAGGTGCATTGTATATATTATTTCCAAATTGAATTCCAAATTGTATTTCTTTTCTCAGCATGTTGGAACAATTAAAGTCTGCACCTAATTACTTAAATTTCGTTTTCTATTTAAATCCATCTGAAATAGAGGCTAAGATATCTGTTTCATTGCGTAATGAAGTTTAATAAAGGACGGGGGTGATGATTGTCGGCCCCACGCATCAGCCCCAAACCTGGAGGACCGAGGGCTGAGATACACCCTGGCATAAAATCATTTTAAGTACTCATAGTGAGGGAAAAAAGAGAATACAGTAGACATTATATTATAAGCTTTGCCTTGAGGCATATTTCAAGATTTGATCATCTGAATCCAAATATTAGCCAACACTTGGCATAAGCAACATTGCCTCGGCCAAACTTTAAAGAACAGATCTTAGTTTAGTCTCTCAGTGTAATACTAGTAGCATGTCATGTGAAATAAAAGGTATTACTATTGCAAATTATGACTCATAATGATGAAGTTGAAGAGGAAGATAAATATCACGAAACTGAGAGATAGAGAGAGAGAAGGGGGGAGTGGGGGGGAGGTTTGACAGTTTGATCTTATATCTGTATCAAAATGATTAACAGTACATGAGACAGAAGGCAGGCTGTGGAGTCTTGACTACCAACTTCGCACGCCATGGGGTTTATGAAGGGAAGGAGTATAGATAAGACACGCTAAACAATTATCATCAAGTGCCTGTCTGATAAACACTCAGAAAAAAATCACTACAGGTGTGTAGCCCACACAAACATATTATATCACAGAAACCACCAAATTAGTCCGTCAAATATTCATGGTAGAAACATTGCAATAAAATAATTATTTTGCAAAACTTATGGAACTTGGAGAAAAGAATTTCTTCTAACTTTTTTCTTCATGTGCAAGTGCATTTATCACTTCCTCAAAATCAAGACTGACTGTGTTCCTTCAGTATATCACAGCGAGGACTGAGAATAGTCATATTCTTTGTTTTGATTTATACATTGAAAAAAATCAAATAATCTCAAGTTTGGTCAGTGTTTTTCTGAAAAGTAGATCATTACCAGGAGCAGAAATTACAAAAATTCACTGCTTTTCAAAACATAGATCCCACTTTTCCTTCTCGTACTCTGTAATGTTTGACTTCCGCGCTGTCTTTACTGTTTTCATTTTTTATTTCATGCCAATTTTGAGACCTATACCTGTAAATGATTTCACTAAATTCTGAGTCCGGTCAATTAAAATATTAACCATGTTAACTACTAGTCATAATTGTTACAATTTGCCAAATTGGGACTATAAGAGCTCTTTGCCAGTCTATTGGTACAGTTCTTTCATTCCAGGCTTTCCTAAATTGTGCACTCTCCACAAGCCTGTATTGCCTCGGCTGATATTCCATCAACACTTGATGCAAGTGCATATATCACTTCCTCAAAATCAAGACTGACTGTGTTCCTTCAGTATATCACAGCGAGGACTGAGAATAGTCATATTCTTTGTTTTGATTTATACATTGAAAAAATCAAATAATCTCAAGTTTGGTCAGTCTTTTCTGAAAAGTAGATCATTACCAGGAGCAGAAATTACCAAAATTCACTGCTTTTCAAAACATAGATCCCACTTTTCCTTCTCGTACTCTGTAATGTTTGACTTCCGCACTGTCTTTACTGTTTTCATTTTTTATTTCATGCCCATTTTGAGACCTAAACCTGTAAATGATTTCACTAAATTCTGAGTCCGGTCAATTAAAATATTAAGCATGTTAACTACTAGTCATGTTTTGCCACTCTCAGAATTTGGCCACCCCTAACATGTTGGCACTCTGTGCAGCTGCACCTGTTGCACCTGCCTAATTATGACCCGGATGTGTGTATCTCTGCATGTGTATCTGTATATGTGTCTATGTGTGTCTGCATGTTTTTATGTGTGCCTGTGTATGTATCTGGGTCTGTCTCTTTGTTCGTGTATGTGTCTGTAAATGTCTATATGTTTGTGTCTATGGGGTGTCTCCATGTACCTATGTATGTATGCATTTATATGTATATGTGTGCGGCATGTGTGTGTGTATGTAGTATGTATGTGTGTATGTATGTGGATGTGTGTATGTATGTGGGTGTCGGTGAGTGAGTGGGCATGTGCATGTGAGAATGCATGCATTTTACCACCAATGCTTTTGTTTTCTGCTTGATATTTATAATATGCATATTATTGTATGAACATTACATGCTTTATTGATAAAATACAACTGCTGTGTGAAAGATGGGTGTTTGAAAGGGCCGAATTTGAGAAGGGTCTACATGCTTTATTTGTGACCCTTCGAAAATAAATTTGTTTGCTTCTTTCATTCTAAAGCTGTCAGAAACTTTTTCAGTCCATACTTCTAGGTCTCCCTCTACATCTTGGTATTTCTGTTTTCATGTTGTGTACACTTACAGCTGGCATCATTGGATTTGCTCTCACTAGAGGGCTAAACCATTTCAATCTTTATTTCTCACAGAATTTAATAATCTCTTTGTTTCTTACATGATCACTGTACAAAATACTTTTGGCAGGGTGCTGGAGAAGATTATTGCTGTTAAACTGCTAACATTTTTGGAAAAAAAAAGAGCACCTGCGAATATTTAACCAGTTACCAGCCAGGGAAAGATAAATGTTCAAATGCAGTCACTTTTTTTAGACAGTGCAGCCACTTTTTTAGACAGTGCAGCCACTTTTGCTTTTGATGTTTATAAAGGGTTCCAAATAAACAGGAGATGGTAGTGAATTGTAATTTTCCGCTAAGTAAAGGACCCTGGTCATTGTCTAGCCCTCATACAATAGATGAGAAGGAGGGCCGCAAGGGGCGCCTTAGCACAGTCGATAAGAAGCTCGCTTTAAAATTCAGCTGCGACTTGCTGCAGCCCACGGTCGGTGTTGGAAACCGGTCGGCTCCCGGGGTTCACCCAGCCTCTAGGAAATGGGTACCAGAGTTATACTCTGGGGTAAATGGAGGAACGTTACTGTAACTACAGAGTTACGTGCGAACGGCGACAGGTGGACAATTCTTATCAGCTGCCTGTACTGGTGGCAGAGCACTTATGGTTTATAACCGTGTGCAATGACGCTGGTTCATATCTCCCTACTTTACCCTTACCTCGAAGGAGGTTCTCACAGATCCAATCTTGCAACTCCTCCACCTTACAGTCGTTACCAGACATGAGCTGTGAAAGTCTTGTCTTCCCGTCACCGTCTAACTACCAACTGCTACCAGCTGGTAACAGTCTACACACTCAGCCTAGCAAGTCTGTTAAAGTCACTTACTTCGTACATCCAGTTTCTGCTTGCACCTGTTCCAGATTACAAGGCCAAACCTCAATGTCCACTGCTTGCATGAAACCAAACAGTCACCATTCAGAACATGCCTGCATTGCTTTCCTGTCAGCCTTAAAACAGCTTGAACTTATTACACAGACGCTCAGTTTGTTGGCACCTTTCATGCTTTCAGACACTGATGTTATATTGTGCTGTAGTAACCTCCTCCCTATAGAACATAGCCAGGGCAGTATTGTAGAGACCATCTGTTGCCCATGCAGCAAGATCCCTCCTCTTAGCCTCCCTTGAGTCTTAGTCGAGGTGTCAACTTCACTGCAATCAGGACACCCCATATTTGCTCTATTCCTGTGCCAGTGAAAAATCAAATGAAATGCCTCTCACTGCCCATTTGAAAAAAAACTGGTGAACAAACAGTTAGTTTCGGGATATGGATGGAAATCAATGGTTTTACTGCCTAAGCTACTGAATTTAATGCTTGGAGCAGCACAGTGAGCTGCGGTTTTTAAAAAAATGTGGAATGACTTATTAACTATTATTTTTTTTGCAGAAGCAGGAATTTTAGAAATGTGTTAGCACTTTGGAACCGTATGCTTTAATGCGAGTGTATGCTAGACAGTCTGTCAATTCCACAAGGGACTGTATAAACCAGTGTTTTTTGGCACAGGAGCGGAGCAAAGATGAGGCGACCCGTTTGCTATGAAGCTGAAACTAAGACTACCAGAAGCAGGAATTGTGGTTGTTTGTATTACATCCTATGTGTAAATATGTTACATATAATTAAAAATGTATAATTTTAATGATATATTTAAATGTAGATCTCTTTTAACGTTTTTTTCTTTCTATTTACAGATTCCAAGTTCACGATCATTCTGCTCACAGCAAAGTGGATATCATGCCAGACATATGAGAGAACACAAACATGTCTTTGTGAACAGCACACTTTACAGACATATTCGAATCACATCATCTGCAACTCTAGTCAGATTAAATAGTTCGGTGGCTGCAAGCGATGGTGGTGTTGCTGCTGTAAGTGGTCCTAAACATTATTTATTTACATTTATGTAAATGTCCTCTTCCCTAGCTTGCTATAGAAATTATCTATGAGGAGCCTCGCTGACAGCACTGCTTTTCTTTTACCTAGGCAACTTTTTAGAATGACCAAGAATGAGCCTAGTTGCTAAAAATAGCTTTTAGGCATGGGTTTCCCTTTCGAAAATGGCTCTATTCCTAAAAATTAGGACACCATAATTTCCTGTTACTATGGTAACTGGTACATGGTTACAGGGTCAAGAAGGGATCAGACACAATTTGTTTTACAGTTCAAAGAGATGTAACCTAGTCAGTCCTCTGCCTCGTTCATGTTTGTTGATTACTTCTGTGAATTTGTATGCAGTTAAATATTGGTTAGCATAATAATTGGAATTTTTATGATTTTGTATGTGACCTGTGTAATGTTTTTTTTTTAAAAAAAAAAAAGATGAACAAGAACAAAATATACAACTATAAGTTTCTGATGTTTTCATAAATAAATGTTAACAGTAGAAGCTTGACAGTTTTAAATACATCACTTGAGAGGAAACAAATGTTTATAATCTTCAGGTTTTGGAATCCTCTGGCTACATACCACCGGTTCCACCCCTGCCAGATGTGTCAAACTCACTGTCTGAGATGACAGGAGCACTGAATGCTCTAGGGGAACCAACACTTCAGTCAGTGGGTCTCGGCACTTTCTGGCCTGCTGGCTTGGTTCAGCAAGGCCTTGAGTTGCTGCATGCAGGTCTTGGTTTGCCTTGGTGGGGCTCCATTGTTGTAGGTAATATAACACTATACATCCCATTTTTCTTCTTCTTCATTCTGTTCTTCTCTTTGTCTTATATCAGTGATGTGTTGGAAAGGGGGGGGGGGGGGGGGAGAGTGGGGTGTAAGGATTTTTGTTGAGTGTACTTTTTCTGACGTGTTATATAAGTTGATCTTCAAGTTATCATTCCATATTCACATCAGGGCTATTCCCATGGTAGCCCGGGCTGAATTTCAGCCCGCAGAGGCCTAGTAAGTGACCCCCAGTTCATAGCCACTTGTATTGTATTGATGATCTTGTTATAATGATAGTGTTAGATTGCATTGTGAGGAGACATGGGACTCACAGCCTGTGGCGATGGCGAGTGTGACTAGCAAGACCCCCACCTGGTTAAGAAAAACCATCCACAGTTATAGCATGGGATTTCAGAACCATTGTTATCAGCATTTGTGTTTAGTCTGGTTCTTCACAGACGCTCAGCTCTCATCCTTTCTGCAGTCGTTTCTTCCTTTATTCTCATTCCTTTCCTGATGTGCCCACTCCACACAACATGGTCCATGACATATTGTTTCCACGAGTCCCCCTCAATACCTTTATCATTCATGTCCTGCGTGCTCACATCTTTATATCGTAGTAGAGGTCGGCCTCGACTTCTTCAACCCGTCTTTAATTCCCCATAGGTGATATCCTTAGGGACTTTCCCATCCTTCAATCTCCCCAGCCACCTGAGCCTTCGTAGAGTGAGCATTTCTTGTCAGAGACAAACATGTTGTTGAGTGTTTTAGCATGTCCCGACTAAACATAAAATATACCATGCCCCTCGACTAAACATAAAATATACAAACGTAATAATAATATGTTAACTGGTGCATATGAGTAAATCTAGTCACACACGGTGTGTGGGATTGAAAGAGTTAAATCAGTAATTGCACAAATACTATACAATTTCTATTATACATTGGTTTGCTGTTTTAAAATTCTGCCTCTGTAGTGGCCTATATAAGGACACTGATTTATGATTTATGATTACAAGGGACTACACATGGGACCTCCTTTTGTTCTGGTCAGAGAGGACCACACATTGTTAGTCCAGAGGTGAATGCGTATGATATTGTTAGTCTCCTGAACACTTTCTGCTGATTAATTGTATAGCACTGTAGATCTGATGTTTGTTTCTACCCTTCTGCATTATGACAGCATTAAAAATGGTTGTACTGCATAAACTTGTTTATTCACAAAAATTGCAACTGGAAACTGATATGGCACAAACAAAGCTAATAATTTCTTTAGACTAAATCATTTGAGAGTTGGAAAGGTTGTGTTTTCTCAACCCTGCTGTATTGTTCAGAAACCTGGACCATGAACAAGCAATAAGAATTGAGGCTACAGAGATGTGGATATACAGAACAATGGATTGTATTTCTTGGAAACAAAAAGCAATGAATATACAGAGGTTTTAGAGAGAATGAAAAGAAGAAAAAGGGGACTAAAGAACTATTTGGATAGAAGATGGCACACTTGTTGAACTCATACTGAAGGAAAAAGTTAAAGGCAGATGAGGAAAAAGTAAATGTGATCATTTCAAAAAAATAAATGAATAGCAGTTCTGAGAGGGTACAGCCTGTGCAAAAAGTTGGAGATCATGGCAGCCAACCTCCATTGATTGATTAATTCAGATTAAATCATGTTGAGTTTTCTGCTTGCATTTAAATGCTTTTTATGTGGTGTCTGTGTGTGTCTATTCATATGTGTATACATAAATATAATTTTGTTTACAGGTACAATTATCATTAGGACATGCATGTTCCCTCTTGTGGTCAAATCTCAGAAAATGTCCATTAATTTAATGAACCATATGCCAACTGTACAGAGGTTGCAGCAGAAGTTCAGTGATGCAAGACAGAGGGGCAACATGATGGAGGGTTAGTATTATATGTTTACTATATTATTATTCTCTTTGTCTGGCTGACTGTCTCCGTCTGTCTGTCTCTGTATCATCCCCTCCACCCCCATTTCATATTGTCCTATTACTACAAGAAACATAAAAAAAAAAATATTATTCATCATTTTCTGCTCTTGCTGTTAAGCTCTTGTCATTCTGTATAGATTTAGAATGTCTTTAATGCCGTCAATCCATGTTCTCGTTGGGCGCGCTCTTGCTTTCATATCAGATATTTTTTAGGTATCATGCCTGTGCTGGTAGTTATAGCAACATTCTAACAAGATGACAGAGCCATTTGGTCTCCTACTTCTCATGAACTTGGTGCAAGGTGTTGTCCCAATATTGTTTCTCATAGTATGATTTCTCACCTAATCAATCAAGTCTCCCATAGCTGAGTTGGCGGCATCTCTTCTCACAGATGTTAATTTTATCTAGTTTAGCCTTTAGTAATGTCAAAGTTTGCCGTTGGTAGCACAGTTTTGGTATGATTATACAATTTTTAACCTGTTTCTTGGCAGTCATATTTATGTTCGGATGTCTTAATAACTTCATCAGTTGATATACAAATGCACTGGTTTTTTGCATTTTGTTTCTAATTTCCTGTCTATTCTGAGAATATACTATCTGGATATTTCTTAGATATTTTCTGTAACTTGTTTCAGCCAAGTCTCATTCACCTCCATCTATAGTGGACTAGGAATTATGACCTGCTTTACTTCAGTTATAGTCAATTTATTTTCTTGTCAAATCTTTTGCTGTTGAACTTAGCTTGTTTAATTAGTCTTGTAGTCCCTCCTTCCTTCCTCTAGACCAGGCACTGATTGTGTGCAATTAGTAGCTCATGTTTCTGTTAACAACATAGATGCTGTAGTGTTCAGTACAGTGTGGATGTTTTATATACTACAAAAAACAATGCATGATGTGATAAAAAAAAACCACACATGCTAAACTAGGAAGCAGTGAGTGCTTTTTTTTTTTGTCTTTTATACTTATCTGATTTCCATAAATAGTTCAGCACAAATAAGGAACGCCAAGAATAAGCAGGTAAAATCTAACATGTTAGAAGGTGACAAAAGATAATTTTTGAAATTGTCATGCAGCAGAAGGTCATGAAGTTAATTTGGTTTGTGCAAAGTAGTAGTTGGATGAGGAAGAAAACTGTGGCTTCTCTTTGATGAAGGCAGGGTTTCTACATGATACCAAGAACAAGATGGAAAGAGGACATCAGAGAAACTACAACATCACGATGTATCGATGGTTGGATGCACACTGTTGGTTTCTTCACCCTTGACTCTAAAGCAGTTGCACTTCAAGGGAAAACACCCCTAATTAATTGCTTCCTAAGACGTGCTTGGGGGGGGGGTCTATTCATTGTTTTTGAAAAAAGAGCCCTAAAACTCGCACGGGGAGAATGGTAATTCAGTGTTTCACTGTTTGGATTGCTTATTATTGATTTAAATCAGCAGATCTAATTTATAATGTTCTCGATTTCTTGTTCTAGCTGTCCGGTACGGGAGTGAGTTAGCAGATTACATGAAGCGGAATAATGTCAAGCCTTTTAATCAGTTATTAATGCCGATATGCCAGGTAGGTTTATTTCTGCATGTATCTTGCAAATATTTCAAAACTAACCTACTAATTTTTAAAATAAATAATTGTTCTTCTCGTTTGTCCGATGACATAATTGCATTGTGATGGTTTACAGCATAGCTGCCATATTTGTGCTGTTTGGTCGACACATCCAACTTCATTGAGCATTTATTGACCGGGTTAACTTCATGGTAGCAGAAATATTATTTACAGGCTAAAACGGTTTGATCACACCCATTTATGAGGCTAATTGATCACACATGCATTAATGAGGCTAACGCGATCAACAGATGCTCTAAGGAGTCAGATGTGCCAGCTAAAAAGTGCAAGAAAATTACAGCTGTTCTATGGAAAGGCACTGCAGTTATGTTTCAAATGAAAATATGGGATGAACAAACAAGAAGTAGAAATACTAACCTAGTCTGCTCCATGCTAATCATTCAGCAGGTCTTTTACGGAACATCTCCTTTTTTACAGCATGTCTTAAAGTCTCTCTCTCTCTCTCTCTCTCTCTCTCTCTCTCTCTCTCTCTCTCTCTCTCTCTCTCTCTCTCTCTCTCTCTCTCTCTCTCTCTCTCTCTCTCTCTCTCTCTCTCTCTCCCCTCCCTCTCTCTCTCTCCCCCTCCCTCTCTCTCTCTCTCTCCCCCCTCTCTCTCTCCTCTCCCTCTCTCTCTCTCTCTCTCTCTCTCTCTCTCATACTAATAAATACAGAAAAGTGTAGGTGGGTCACCAGTAATTTCTTCCTTAACGTAATGGATAGGGTAGGCATTGTTTCTTCTCCAGGATTGAGTCTATAGGATAAACACTGCAGGGGCAAGAAACAGACAAATACAAATCTCAGAAATCCCGTTCTGCCCCTTAAAACAATTTATACTGGGGCATTTTGGAGCATACCCTAGAGCAGTGGTTATGAAACTTTTTTCGCCGTAACACCCTTGTTGGGCAAATTTTTTTTTTTTTTTTTTTTTTGCACACCTACGCTTAGCAGTTTTAACACTTAAGAAAAGAAGAAATAAAAACAGTGTACATTTAATGTTCATTTGTTTTAAATGCGATGAATGAAACTTTGGTTAAATTTTGCATTATTTCCTATATGTATATGGGGAGTTTAGCTAATTTCACCATCACATCACTTGACCCAGACTGTTTGCTCCTGTATCTGTTTATTATTATTATTTTGTTTTTAAATGTAAGTGTAAGTTGAGGATGCCCTGCAGCCTTGCTAGCAGCATTGTCTTTTGAATACACCTCCATCCAGAACATATCTTGGCTTCTTTCACAGTATTGCTATTTTAAACTGCTGTCTTCTGTGATCTCAAGCAGATTTGGAAAGATTTTTAATTATTGCTGTGGCACCCCTGGGTGCCACGTCACCCAGTTTGAGAACCGCTGTTAATTTTATGACATAGGATTTAACAAACTGCTATCTACTTTTGTTTCTGTGTCTGGTAAACTGTCAGGTGGGCTGCAAAAAAATATCCCCTGTTTTAGTGGGTCACAGTTGTAAACGGGTTGAGGGACACTGACATAGAGTACACAGAAGATTCTTACATCTTCTTGAAATGATCACATTTACTGAAGTAAATGGAGGAAGAGGAGAAAAAGAAGAAGTCTGCTACACGAATGACCATGCTAGCGACACTAGATTTCTTAAAATATACCATAGAAAACAAATATTCCATTAGTATTGAGGAGTTGGAATGTAAGCTTTAGATCAGTGGAGCTGAGTGATTTGAGTGGAGCTTTATTTTCTGTCTTGCAGATACCAATATTCTTGTCTGTATTTGTTGGCCTGAGAGGGATGGCCAATCTTCCAGTGGAAAGTATGAAGACAGGCGGGACGCTGTGGTTTCCCGATCTCACCATCACCGAGCCATTTTATGGGCTACCAATGTTGACAGCGTTCACATTTTGGTTGACAGTTGAGGTAAGATGTCAGCTAATAGCATTAATAAATGGTTTGAAGTCACTGTGGTGTGGCAGCTAGAAGCTTGCCTGTGGATTTGAAGGTCATGGGTTCATTTTTTCTATGACCTTGGCTTCCAGGTTGACCCAGTCCAAAATTTGTACCAGATGAAGTGCTGGGAAGTAAAAGCAGCTGGCCTGGTGTTGACCACATCACCCACCAAGTGCCAGTTGTCTATAAAATATAAATCTAGACCCGTATGCCAAATATGAATAAAGGGTTCTTTACTTTACCTATGGACAACTTTTTATTTCTGCAAACTTATTCTTAAATGAAATATGCTTCTAATTTAATTTTCTATGGTTCTTTCTAAATTTTGTGTACTTTTCTTAGTTATGCTATTGAAAAAAAAAATGTGCATTGCACCCCTTTACCCTTCTATGATGTGATATAATTCCTATTTGCAACATCGTCTTCCATTACAAGATGTGATATCATCATCTGTTATGTGAAATAATGTAATCTTCCATTACATAATGTGACAGTATCTCTCATTAAATTTCTCATCTTCTTTACGTCACAGCGGTGAACTGTTCAGACAAAATCTGTGCTTATGATTAACTTTGTTGTACCCTGTCTGATGGTATAGAATGATGACCTGTTCATACCTGTCAGATAAGTGGTAGTCAGTCCTGGCCTGATCCTGTTGTATTCTGACAAACTGGCTGGCTGTTTTCTTCCCAGAATATTTAATTTAATTAGCTCTGTGTTCACATGTTAATTTCTTTTTCTTCTGTTTATCATTTGTCTGAGTGACGTAATTGCATAATACCTATTTACAGCATAGCTGCGATATTTGTGCTTTTCGGCATTTTTTATCTGGATTAATCTTCTTTGTTAGTTTCATTGAACATCGTGGGACATTTGTAGCCTCATATGTGTGGTTACTTCATGATTTCCTGATCCACGTGTGTTATCCTTAGACGACCCGACCAGGACAGCTGCATACAGATTAATCGACTCTCAAGGGAAGGCAGGGGCAGAATGTGGGCATTCCCCGCCATCAAAAATAGGTTTTCATAAATACAGAGCTGATACATGGTGCTCTGGTATTAGGCTGACCTAAGGAATCATCATGAATGCTTAACTTCACATCTGTATATTGAACCTTCAACTCATTATGGGCCGCACCCTTTACAGATCCCCAGGAGGAGGTCTGCAGACCTTTGACTTTAATTTCCTGCATACCTGGGTATCTTGCTTCATCAGCATGTGACTTCTGTCTTTGCGAAAGGCACCTTTCATGTGGATGCTTCAGGCACATTTTGTAGTATTTATGGGAAGCATGTGTTAGGCATGGTCATGACACTCTGACGAGTGTGGCCAATGAAAGCAGATGTTTGAACCTTTTGTCTTAAAGTAAGATCTTTACACCTGAACATATGCCGCCATAGAGTAGGTCATTTGAACCTTAGTAGCCATACAGTAAGATTCTTGGTCAATAGATGTTTGTACCAAGGTTTTTTATATAGTTGGACTTTCGATCAACAGAGATTTGAACCTAAGTTTATCATTTATTCGGCCAGCAGACTTCACTCATGTCCAGAATGATTCTTCGGTGTAGGTTACCTTCCTGCACTAAGGGTGGACTATCGTGTGCCAGAGGATTTCTGGGCACCACATCCCTGGGGGCCACCCACTCTGAGATCCTTGCTAGCTCAGTTTAGACCAAGGAAGGCCATTATCCATAGCGCATGATGAGGATGTGTGCCAGGAATTTCGAATGAGGATCTGTAAAACGAGTAGAGAACCTGCTGCCGCCCAAGGTGAAGTACAGAGGATCACTTTGTGCCTAGCACAATGGCCTTAACCTTCCCTCTCGCCTATGAATAAAATTACCTTGCCACTGGTGTTAATTTAATTTTTAGGTTGACAGCATATCCAAGAATAAGGCTGCATTGTGTTTAACAATAAATATGGTGTACGTATGTTATTCAGCATCATTACTGACTGACTTTTTACCCCACCAGGACATCACACAAGCGATAAACATTCGTGACACAAAGTGCCACCATGCGGATGAGGATCACCCATGGAGAGGTCCCAGAAACCCCTTTCAGCCGTTAGGCCATTTCTATGGCTAGGCCATATCTATGCCCCGGCTATATTCAGGGCCCCCAACAGAAGCCAGGGTTGGGCTTCAAATAATGAAAAATTGCATCTCACATGGGGATGATTAATATTGCATCATTACTTGCAGGCATCTGTGGTTAAGTTGTGAACGTACTTCGTAATTCCATAGTGCCTGGTTTAATCTGTGCTGCAGGCAATTTGGCAGCAGACCGCATTGCAAGAGTTTCAACAGTGGTTTTGATGAAACTGACCATTTAGAAAGCAGTAGCAAACTACTGAACACAAAATTGCCTTTTAAAATCACAAGCAAATAATGCTGGGGTTGGTTGTGCAATATCCTGTAAAGGACAGGCAACTAACTGGTTTTAAATTTTTTTTTTTAAACTTGCAGGTTGGTGTGGATGGAATCAGTGCTCAGACACAGGCACATATAATGAAATGGGTCCTCAGAGCAATGCCTCTTATTATGTGGCCATTCATTTCTAATTTTCCGGCAGTAAGTATAATTATACGCTTCAGCAAGGTAGTCTAAATAACATGTTACAGATTGTGTGGTTTTGTGTTTGTTTCTTCATTAGCAACAAGCATGTTGTAAAAGTTGACTAATTAGTGATGTTTCCTTCAAAGTCATGAGTGCATCTGTCTGAGAGGCAAGGAGTCAAGTCTACATACAGATAAGCCGGTCCCTGTGTGAGTTCCGGGGCCCTGCTTTTAGGGAAAACAAGAATAGACCCACTGCCTACCCAAAAGCATGTCGTAAGAGTCGACTAATTGGGAGCTTTCTTCAAAGTCGGAGTACATCTGCCTGAGAGGCGAGGAACAGCAGTCTGCATACAAATAAGTCAGATTTGTAAAACAGATGCACATGCAACACTCAGGTTCTGGAAAAGGACTGCACTCCAAAAGTGGATGAACAACCAGAACTTTCTGCCAGAGTTTACAGCGGGTGAATGCAAAGAAGAAGAAGAGATAAGCCGGATTTGTGAAACAGATGTGCATGCAAAATTCAAGTTCTAGAACAAGGTCTAAACCCATGAGTAGATGAACAACTCTTCTGCAGTTCATAGCCAGTGAACTCAGAGAAGAAGAGGAAGGATGGATTAAGAACAGAAGAGCTTTCAGCAGTGTACAGCAAGCAGTCAGTGTCAAAATTGCCTAAACTGAATCATAATAAGTTAACATAAATAGTACGATTGGATTCTTACATCTATAAATAAAGCCATGTCAGAGAATAGTTTCCATTGACGGCTTGATTGTCCTGGAAACATACATTCTATATGAAAGCAGAGGCATCCATTCAGGAGGAGTTGCCAGTTTGCTGGGCAGCTTATAATGAAGCAAGTGAAATATTTGTGGCAACTATATTTAACTGCTATAAAGGGCATTAATTAATTTCCTGTCACCATATTGATTGACATAATGAAAAGATCACAGCTTGACAATTGTTTAACGTATCTATGATTTGTCTTACAAGATTTTCACCTGAACAGTTGTATTTATAATTTTTTTTTGGGTAATTGAGGGATATGAGGAGATGATACCATCATCCTGGGGTAGTTTGATGTTCAGCAAAAGATTAGCAAATCTAGTGTGCATGTTAACACATTGTTTGATTTTTAGATGATAAAGTCTAGGCTGTACAGTCATTTCTTTGACTTAGCCTTCTGAGCTGTTGCAGATACCACCAATCTCTATTCATCTCTGTGAATGGCCTTTTTACCTGGAGACTTAATTGTGTGTAAGTTTGCCTGTAGATGATCTCCTCGCCATCTTCTTAGTCTACCTTTTGGTCTTCTCCCTTACAACTCTTTTATGTATGCAGCTTTTTTCTTTCATTTTCTATGCTTGACTCAACCCTTGCAGTGTATTAGCCTGCATGATGCCTTGATTGGTACCTGTCCATCTTTCCATACCACAGTGTTATGAGGAAGCATAGAATTGCAGCCCATGGCGATTATGAGTGCGACTAGTAAGACCCGCCCGCCTTAAGAAAAGCCTTCCACAATTATAGCATATGATTTCAGGACAGTTGTCGGTAATTGACAAGGACCCGTAACTGCCTCTTGATTTGTTTCTGACATAAATTACGGCCAGGGATGAAGTTCATCCTCTCCATAGCACAAAACCTGGGCAGTATTGAGAGACCATACGTTGCCCATGCATCATGATCCCTCTCTCCACCTGCCTTGATTACACCAGAGGAAAGGTAACACCAGTACGTTTGGAACAAAGAAGCTGCAGAAGTTGCCAGAACATGCTCTCTCTTTCTGCCTGTCAGAGCTTCCCTCCTAGACCAGTTGCCAGCCAAGGCTAAGAGCCTGGTTGCCCTGCCATAACAAAGTTTTTTAGGTTGCATTTCCTCTTCCTAGGATAAGGCTAGTATCCTCCCCAATGCCCCCCTCTCCCTGCAGCCATCGGCACAGTGTGGGGTGTCAGGTTTGGTATACGCCGCCCAACATTCAGCGTTAACAGAAGAGGGGTGGTACTGGTTGATGTCTTAATTAGTGGTGGTTTAAACAGACCATGAATTTAATTGTTGCTTCTCGCTCCCCATTCTTGGCTGTTTGCATAGTGTAAATCTCTGTTCTCAAAAGTTTGTAATAGGGCATGGTATCATTTAGCTGAACATAGTCATTGTCTTAGCACAATTAAAAAAAGTTAGGAAACAAAACAAATAAGCAAACACCGTTCGTAGAATTTACATCTCCTACATATATACCTGGAAGATAAGGGAAAACCATTACATTAATTTTGCACACACAAAAACAAAACTTTGACTTTATAGTAAAATGACATATACAAAAGCCTCATCACAATCTTGAGATAGATGAATCTAACATGAAATATGAGAAAGATGAATCTAACATGAAATATGAGAAAGATGAATCTAACATGAAATATGAGAAAGATGAATCTAACATGAAAAATGAGAAAGATGAATCTAACATGAAATATTAAGTTCCATGAAAATTGTTGTCTCTATCTTCACCAGGCAATGTTGGTGTACTGGTTCACATCTAACAGCTTTTCACTGCTGCAAGTGTCATTCTTGAAGATCCCAAGTGTGCGTCAGTTCTTTAAGATCCCAGAGAAGACCATTCATCAGATCCAGCCAACAGAAAAGAAAGGCTTCATTGAGGGCTTCAAAGATTGTAAGTGATGATTTGGTCACTGATGATGGGCTATGTTGCAACTATTCATCATTAGCTATATTATTTGTAAAAGCTGTTTACAAGTGAGAGCTTGGCTTCTTTCCATCAGGTTTGATCCCATTTGACTCACTCAGTCTGGCATTTGGCTGGTCGGCCATTTAAAATGTCAGAAGAAGCAGGTAACTCATGGCTCTAAGGTTGACCCCATTTCCCAAGGGATGCCCAAACTACATTTATGAACCAAATGATGATGGAGTTTGAAAACCGAACATGTTACCTTCAGAATGTGAGACAAACGGCTCAACCATGTAATCTCAGAAATCACCAAGCTATATATATTATTTATGATGTGCTAGAGCTCAGTAAAAATCAGTACTGCTGTATGGGATTGAAACATGGAGAACAACCAAAACAATTACTAATAAACTACAAACAATAATTAACTGGTCCCTGCGAGAATAGAGGAAGTCAAGTTATATGATATAATTAGTCTTGTGGAACTTTGGGAGAGAACTAAACAAACTCCAGTGAATCAAGAGGTGAAGAAAAGAAGCTAATGTTACATATCACATACGTTGAGAAAACTTGAGAACAATGCAACTAGAATGTCTTTGCATGGGAACTTACAGGGATGTAGAAAAAAAAGGCAGATTAAAAAATACACATTGAATGCAGCTAGAGGGTGAAGATAAAAAGATAAGGAGAACATGAGGGAAAACATGATGTGAGCTGCTTGCAATAACAAAGGATAGGACAACTTGGTGTGAGTTGGTTGAGGGCCTATGCTCCACTGGGGGACAAAAGGCAGAACACTAGAAAAAGAGCTCAGTTGTTTGATTAATGCCTTACAAATGTATAACAAAAATCAGTAATAAGTTGAACATGTTATGAGCCTGCAGTGAAGGTCCCATTTCTAGGCCTTCGGGATATTGAGCATATGCTAGCCCCACAGATTTATTGAGCAGTTGGCAGTTGGCGGAGGATGTGGTTACTGCCACTGCCTAAAAATATTGTTAAGTGGTAGCAGACATAGCTGAGTACCAGGTACTGCAAGCCAACAGTGTCAGGGTTAGCTAGCTCTCCCTTGGAAGGATGAAAATTGAAAATTAGTAGCTTGATAGTGAACTGTAGGACAGCCTAGCCAACCCCACCTTCAAGCAGTGCACACTGGAGAACTGGGGCTACAGGGTCTCAGGTTAACGGGGTTCTGGCCCTCCAAGTGGGATGGGATCCATCTGGTTAAATACTGCCTTAAACTGCAACAGGCCCAGCAAGCCGGCAGTGGATTAAATCTTGCTTGAAGAAACAATGAGAAGAGAATCAGATCAAATGGTTGTGACATGTGTCAAGACAACCACCAGACAGTGCTCCACACACAGCCCTGCCACTCAGACATAATTGAAGCAGAGCCAGATGGAATAGCCGAGGCCTTGAATATGAGCATCTACATTGCACATACAAAGGCTTTCACCCACTGCCTTTTCAAAACCTGACACTGGAAGGCAGAACAGGACTAGAGGAGAAGAAGAAGATGAAGTGCTTGATTCTGCCACACCTGAACCAGAACCAGCATTGCAGTGCCATGCTGCTGAGATCTGTGCCATGCTGCTGAGATGTGTGCCATGCTGCTGAGATCTGTGCCATGCTGCTGAGATGTGTGCCATGCTGCTGAGATTTGTGTCATGCTGCTGAGATGTGTGCCATGCTGCTGAGATTTGTGTCATGCTGCTGAGATGTGTGCCATGCTGCTGAGATTTGTGTCATGCTGCTGAAATTTGTGCCCTGCTGCTGAGATCTGTGCCATGTTGCTGAGACCTGTGCCATGCTGCTGAGACCTGTGCCATGCTGCTGAGATTTGTGTCATGCTGCTGAGATCTATGCCATGCTGCTGAGATCTGTGCTATGCTGCTGAGATGTGTGTCATGCTGCTGAGATGTGTGCCATGCTGCTGAGATTTGTGCCATGCTGCTGAGATGTGTGTCATGCTGCTGAGACCTGTGTCATGCTGCTGAGATTTATCGTCAAGCTTTCCTTCAGCTTTAGGTGTCTTCGTAGGGAACTGTTCATGTTACTGTTAGTTTCTTAAAAACAAAAACAATCCAGAACAGAGCTTCTGGAGAGACTGCGAATAAGAAGAGAATTACTGAAAGAAATAGTCTTCGTCTTCTTTGCGTTTGGTTTTGTCTGCTCAGATCAGATCATCAGGTGGTTTGCCTCTATGAACTTGCATGTCAGTAGCAGGTCCTTCATGGTTTCCCATAGCTTGCTCTGCACGCTGTGCTCTTGAGGCCAGGTGTCTTTTCGAAGTTGTAGGTAAAATGGACAGGTCTGTATAATGTGCTCATGTGTTTGCGGTCCTGTTTAACAGGCACACAGTGGGGACTGTACAATCTTTATTTTATGCATGTGGTAGTTGAGCCGGCAGTGCCCAGAGAACACATTATGCAGAAGTTATCTTTAATGTTATTTTACAAAGTTTGCTGTGATTAATCAGCAGAATTCCAATGTTATGATATCATCATTGTATATTTTTGCTTCCCCAGCCTACAGCAACATGAAAGCATCTCAGCAGGTCATGGAGAGGCAAAGATTAGATGAGAAGAACTTTCGCAAAGCTGCTATTGGCCCTGTGGTAAAAACGTACCAGTACAACCCAAAGGCAGTTACAGATCCACAGAAGATTGTGGCTAAAAGCACAGAACGGGGACAGCAGTCTAATTCATAGTTGTGTTGAATGTGAATTGTTTTGTTTTATGTCACCTGTCTATAATATATATGAAAATCAAATTGTAGCAGGAATTTAGCACAAATCAGCAAAGTGCGTACATCATTTGAGCTGGGTGCAGGAAACAAATGCTAGCAGCAGTATGACATTCTGAAGAGGACAAATAATATAAAAAGTGTACTAGACAAACTAACAAACAAACAAACTCAAGCTTCATAAAAGCTTATTAAAAAAAAAAAAAACACCCTTTGTGCCAGGATGTGAGATGTGTTGATTATACTCACATTCTCTTCCTCTCATACATCCTTCCTTGCCGGATCCACTCTTAAGTCTTCATACATTTATCAGTGGTATGCAGTAAAAACTAATGTGAAGTTAGAAAGAAATCTAAACAAATTCCAGTGGATCGAGATTGGGGAGGGAGGGGGGGGAGGGGTTGCTAATGCTGGTTAGTGCACACATTGAAAAGACTAAGAGCAGCATAGCTAGTAATGTCCTTGCACTAGAACTCCCAGTTTTAAAAAATATAAAGAAATTCAGAGTTAAAAAAAAAAAAAGACCACAAAAGCAATGATAAGAAGACATGTTATAAGAAAAGCAGGATGCAAGGTGAGTTGAACATGATGGCAAAGAATATGACTCTATGGCCCAAGTTAGTTCAGACTGGAGTTTAACAGCAGAATAAGAAGCAGCATGCTTGTTGATCACACAAAAAATATCCTGAAATACAGACATCTTGCACACACATCTTCTTAAATACTGGTGTAGTCTTGCTGAGCTGCACGCTTTTTCTGTAGTTGTTCATTAGCCATATGGACTTTTTTTTTTTTTTGAAGTTTTTGGTAAAAACCATTTCATCTGTGACATTTTGAAGCAAATTTCTTGTACATGGCAAGTTGTTGTCACATTTAAACATTTGAATTTAAAGTTTTAAAACATTTATCTGTGTTTGTTGTCAGTGATTTCTAGTTTATAACCTGTTTGCCACTGCTACTTATCTGCCTTGATCATCTTTGTAAAGTAAGATATTACTACACAGAACAGTGTAAAAAAAAAAAAAAAAATGAAATTATGAATTTAAAAACGTCATTGTTGAAAGAAGTATATATATATTTTTTTAATGTGTGCAGAACATTGCTCTTATCACAGCCTGTCGAAAAGAACTCGGTCCTTCGCATTTCCTCTGTCACACATTGCTTTATTCTCAGTGTCTTTAGTCTCCGGTGTCCATCGTGATGGTGGTCAGCCCTTGCCTGGTCTTCCAGCAGCCAAACTTCTGTGACTATTGTCTCTCAACGACATGGACGTTTGAGGTCAAAGGACAAAAGATAAAGGACCCTTCTCCTGCCCCTGCCTTTACTCCTTATGACATTTCTACATACCTTTTTTATGAGGGGAAAGTCAATAAGTAAGTCATAAATAGTTGTTATAAACAAAAACAACTAAATAACTACTTGAAAACCGTTTATTTTTACACATTCTCTGTCCTTTAATTTTTTAGCATAATTTCCACCAACACTGCAGATCGGGTCAGAGCCCTTTAGGAACAAGTAACGAAGTGAGAAGAGAAACTAGATTATTGTGGGCTGGAGAGAATAATGCACTTGGGTGTGACCAGAGGGTTCGGCCGGTACAGAATGCTCGGAGGAAACGCAAAACCGGAACACAACCAAATTATGACAGGCACCATTAGTATTGGAACTGTGCTGGCTGCTAAGGAGGGGGCAGGATGCGTATGGGAATGTTCTGAGTGCTGTGATGTCAATTCTTGACTCAACTCATTCCACCAACACTGATTCACTTGTCCCATCGTTTTATCAGTCCTCTCAAACCTGCAGCAGGGAACTGCATGCTCTATTTTCTAAACCACATTTTCACTTCATATTAAACTTCTGCGTCATTTGCGAAATGTCTCCTGCCAAGGTAGGTTTTCATTGGACCAGAAAGGTGGAAATCGCTAGGGGCTAAGTCGGGGCTATGAGGTGGATGTTCCAGAAGTTCTACCCCAGATGGTTAATTTTCTGCTGATTTAACCGAACCTATGTGGTCTGGCATTGTCATGGAGGAGCCTTGTCCTCAAGTCAGCAGCCCTGGATGTGTTCTTTGAATGGCATCATGAAGCATCGATAGAACTTTGCAGTATGAATCAGCATTCACATTGTCACCTTTTTTTTGTGTGTGTGTGAAACTGATTAAAGCTCTCCTTGACAATCCCAGAACACTCAGTATAACCTTCCCTGCTGATGGCGTAACCTTGAAGTTTTGAACACAAGGTGAAGAAGGATGTTTCATTGCAGTGTAGCATGCTTTGGTTGGGGCTGGTAGTGACGCACCCTTGATTTATCCCCAGTATTAATCCTGTTCAGCATTTCTTCTCCTTCATCCGCATATCGACGGAAGCTGCAAGGGCAGTTGAGGATCTGAAGTTTTATATGTTTGCTGAGTGTCTTTGAATTCCAGATGTTTGGAGAAGGCACTAGATGCCAGTGTGATTATAAATTATATTTCGGGCGATGAATCCCCCTAGGATGTCATCTTACTCCCTAGGTATGTAAAGCTGTCGACTTTTTCAAGGATGTGATTGTTTAGTTTGATGTCCTCTGAAATACTGGTAAGATCAATAATTTTTGTTTTTGCTGTGTTAATTTGGAGACCAGTTTGTCCTGAAATATTTTAGAAATACGTTTTCTCTTGGATATCTGGATGTGTTGAACTCAAAAGCACTATGTCGTCAGCAAAGTCAAGATTTTCTAAAATATTGTCAACCCATTTGATGCTCCTATTTGTGTTGTGTGTGCATTTCTGCATGACCCAATCGATTGTCATTGCTATTCCAAAGAGTATCGGCGATAGGACACAGCCTGGTTTCACTCTTTTTCTACTTGGAACCAGTCAGAGTTGCCGGATTCTGTTCTTACTCTGCAACGTGTTTCACTGTAACAAGATTTTATGACTGATACATTTGGTAGGGAATTTTAAGTAGTTTCCAAAGTGTAGGACGATGGATACTGTCAAAGGTCTTTTGAATGTCGACAAACGTGTGACCCGAAGTTAAAAAAAAAAAATTATTATTTAATTGAAAGAACAAACAGAAAGCTATGTTTGACTACGTCTTACGTCGAATACTGATTTTTGACTGACTGACTTTCTACCCCACTAGGACATCACACACGCGATAAACACCCGATGACACAAAGTGCCACCATGTGGATGAGGATCGCCGTGGAGAGGTCCCAGAAACTGCGTTCAGACAATTGGTCATATTTATGGCCTGCCTATATTGCGGCCCCTGGCAAAAGCCAGGGTGGGGCTTTCAATAACAAACAATTTCATTGTAAGAGATGTATACTGATTTTTTTCCCTGCTATTTTTCTAATAATAATTGCTGTAAACCAATGAAAAATCAGGTTATCCATAGCAAAAAATCAAAAACGGTTTGCTGCCGTCCAATGAAAACACGTCTGTGGATATGACTGTGCTCTTTCAGGAGATTTTTTCCCCTCTCACTTTTTCAAACTTGTTAACAATGAACACATACATACAGACAATGTGGGGGGGGGGGGGGGGGAGATTCCGCGACTTACCATTGTGGTAGTCAGTGACAGTACTATTGATAGTAAATAAAACACAAAGAAAGAAATTATTGACTCGCATTTCCCTGAGTGGGTTCTGGGGCCCCATTGTGAGGGAAGCAAGAATAGGTCTACCGCCTCCCTAACAGCAAGTGACGCGAAGAAGAAGAAGAAGACACTGGCAAGGTGTCAGGAGATTTAGAAAGCTAAAGGAAAATATGGAACTCTAAATTACATAGTTTTAGAGAGTTTTACACTTCTAATGTTATTTCAATTTTATCATATGTCAAGGAACACTTGAAAACCACTAAATGTATGGAACGAAAATTGAATGCGTTATAAAACAAAAGCCTGAGGAAAATAAAAAAAAACATAAAATGGCGTAAATTCAAAAAGAGTGAAGACAATAGAGCAGTGTTTCCCCAACTTTTCTTAGTAGCGGCGCCTTTTTTTACTTGAATTTTTTTTTTCCCCACGGCGCCCTAACCTAAGTTAAAGTGTGAATTCGTATGCAAGAGATAAAAAAAAAAAAAACTCTTGTATCTTCAGCGCACAGTTTGGGAATCACTGCAGTATAAAAACATCTGGGCAACTTCAGACATTGACAGTTATACAACAGAAAAGACAGAAGAGATGGCGCTATATTCGACACTTTCTGAGAAGAGACAGAAAATCACCAAAACAGGCACTGACATGCGAAATAGAAGGATTGAGAAAATGAGGGAATGAGGGAAACCCTAAGGCGAACGATGATGAGAGAAGCCAAAGGTGCTGGACTGGAGTCCATCCATGATATCGGAGAGATTGCACGGGATCGAGCGGAATGGGAAAATTGACTGCGACCACTCTATGACTTATAATGGCACATCGGGACAATGAATAAGTCAGCGAAAGTAAAAAAATAAACGAGAGATGGCAGGAAGTGTCCATGACGATTCTTCTTCTTTTTCTTCTTCTCTCCTCCTCCTCCTCCTTCTTCTTCTGCTTCTGCTTCTTCTTCTTCTTCTTCTTCTTCTTCTTCTTCTTCTTCTTCTTCTTCTTCTTCTTCTTCTTCTTCTTCTTCTTCTTCTTCTTCATTCTCTTCTTCTTCTTCTTCTTCTTCTTCTTCTTCTTCTTCTTCTTCTTCTTCTTCTTCTTCTTCTTCTTCTTCTTCTTCTTCTTCTTCATTTCATTTCTCTTCTTCTTCTTCTTCTTCTTCTTCTTCTTCTTCTTCTTCTTCTTCTTCTTCTTCTTCTTCTTCTTCTTCTTCTTTCTTCTTTCTTCTTATTCTTCTTTCTTCTTCTTCTTCTTCTTCTTCTTCTTCTTCTTCTTCTTCTTCTTCTTCTTCTTCTTCTTCTTCTTCTTCTTCTTCTTCTTCATTCTCTTCTTCTTCTTCTTCTTCTTCTTCTTTCTTCTTCTTCTTCTCTTCTTCTTCTTCTTCTTCTTCTT